CCGCCGCCGCCCCTGCCGCCGGGGGTGCGCAGGCGCAGCACCCCTGTTTGTCGGCCCCCGAGAAGGCAGGAGGTACGGCCGGAACCGAGACCAAGGCCGAGCCGGAGCCCACCAGGCTTGACTCGAGTTCAGAACGAGGCGTCAGCCCCGCATGGACCGAAAGGCTCTGGGGTGGATGGAGGAGGCCCAACCCTGAGGTCAACTCCGGTCCGACCAGCCTGGCGCAGGGCCTACAGGGCGGGCCGGCAGGCGTGCCCAAGCCGCCTAGGGCCTTCCCTCGGGTCCCGGGGCCAGGGGCCTAGGCTCCTGTCGGGCGACAAGGCCCGGCTCGGCCCTTCGGGACCCAAGCCCGGGCCGAACGGAAACAGAGCCATCACCAGGGCCATAGGCAGTGACTAGGCCAGGCCCGGGCCTCCCGTCGGGGCCGGGCTGGTTCAAGCCCCTAGCCCATCAGACCCTTCCCTCAGACCGCTGCCGACCAGGAAGATGCAACGCGCCTTACCAGGCGCCCGCCAGCACTTGGGGGCCATCCTGGCCAGCGCCAGCGTGGTGGTGAAGGCGCTGTGCGCGGCCGTCCTCCTCCTCTACCTGCTTTCCTTCGCTGTGGACACGGGCTGCCTGGCAGTCACCCCAGGCTACCTCTTTCCGCCCAACTTCTGGATCTGGACCCTGGCCACCCACGGGCTGATGGAGCAGCACGTGTGGGACGTGGCCATCAGTCTGGCCACAGTGGTGGTGGCCGGCCGTCTGCTGGAGCCCCTCTGGGGGGCCTTGGAGCTGCTCATCTTCTTCTCGGTGGTGAATGTGTCCGTGGGGCTGCTGGGGGCCTTCGCCTACCTCCTCACCTACATGGCTTCCTTCAACCTGGTCTACCTGTTCACTATCCGGATCCACGGCACCTTGGGCTTCCTAGGTGGGGTCCTGGTGGCACTCAAGCAAACCATGGGGGACTGCGTGGTCCTGCGCGTGCCCCAGGTGCGCGTCAGCGTGGTGCCCATGCTGCTGCTGGCACTGCTGCTGCTGCTGCGGCTGGCCACGCTGCTCCAGAGCCCAGCGCTGGCCTCCTACGGCTTTGGGCTGCTCTCCAGTTGGGTGTATCTTCGCTTCTACCAGCGTCACAGCCGGGGCCGAGGGGACATGGCCGACCACTTTGCTTTCGCCACCTTCTTTCCTGAGATCCTACAGCCTGTGGTGGGGCTCTTGGCAAACTTGGTGCACGGCCTTCTGGTGAAGGTCAGGATCTGCCAGAAGACGGTGAAGCGCTACGATGTGGGCGCCCCATCCTCCATCACCATCAGCCTCCCAGGCACAGACCCTCAAGACGCCGAGCGGAGAAGGTACCGTGAACTCTCCCCAAATCTCCCCGAGCTAGGGAGGCTGGCCGAGTCACGTGTCATCTGCTAAGGTCCTCACTGGACAAGGCAGGAGACCCAGGTCAGGAGATCTGGGGTCAGGAGACCTAGGGTCAGGTGTTCGGCAGATTCAGGGAAAGAAAAGCCAGCCTTAAGCCTTAAGAAACTCAGCATTTAGAGGTCTGGGTTCCAGCAGGTGGTTTTCTTACCCCCTACTTAGGCCACTTAACACATTTCAAGAAATGCCCAGCTAGCGTGGGGGCTAGCGGAAGTGCATACAGCCCCAGCCTTGCTTCAGCCTCAGAGTCCTAGACGTGGGGCCTATGGGAGCCAGAAACAGCTGTGAGAGGGACGAGGAAGGAGGCCTAGGGTCCTTATGAGGTGGTCTAGGGGGGCCGGCAGGTGGTGTGGTGGTTAAGCCATTCAATTCCCACATGGTCAACCATAGTTCGAGTCCCAAGCCTGGAGGCTGGCTTTCTCACTTTCCCTCTCTCTTTCTGGTCAAATTAAAATAATAATAACTATAAGTTAAATAATTGCTTTAAAAAAAAAAGTGGTCTAGACCACCTGAATTCCAATTGCTGACCATGCCTCTTTCTGGCCATGGTCTGCAATTGAATTCAGAGGCTGTGCCCCCCCCCCCCGCTTCTGCTTATTTAGAGAGAGGGAAGCTTTGACCCCTACTCCCAGAGGCATGTGTTACCAAAGCCAGGGGCCAGGCTACATGACCCACTGCGGGAGCCGGCAGTCCACGCCAGGGAGTGGACAGGGACACGACCTTTTGTAATCTGTAAACCAAGCCCTCCGCAGCCTGGGGCATCCCGGCTGAATTATTCACGGGCTGCACTTTGCCCAGGGCAGGAGGAATCTCTCTTCGTTCAGCTCCTTTCCTCCCAGATCTGTGGGCTGACCTGGCTTCCCCAGGGCCACACCTCCGTCTGACATTACTCTTGGTTCTCTGAGGCAATCCCTCGAGTGCTAAACTCTGGGACCAGCTATCCTTCGCAGCAGGTCAGAGGCTCCTGCTTTTCCTCACCAGAGGAGTAGGTTCTCGGCAGGAGATCTATGCTCGCAGCGGAAGAGTGAGCACCCTGTGCTGGGGAAGGGCCACAGATCTCCATGGTCTGGTCCGACGTGGTGTCAGTGTCAGAAGTACATGCGGCACGCTGGGGGGCGGGACTGGGGACCCCATGCTTGGGTCTCTGTGGACAGGAGGCCCTTAAGGTGGGTCTGTGGTGGAGGAGGCAGGGCCAGGAGGGTGGGGCCAGGCCTGTGGAGCTGTCAGGTGGCCAGACTGGAGAGTGGTCAGCAGCCCCCCTCCAGTGAGAGGTCTTGGATTGTCAGGGCAGGCTGGTCATTCAGAAACCTCTGCCCAGGCCCAAGAGAACGGGCAGGAGGGGGCAGGGGCGTCAGCATAGCCTTGTCAGATGTTAGCTTTCGGAGTGGAGAGAGCTGCTCCTCCAACCAGTTTGACATCTCCCTGCATGTCACTCCCAGACCCAGAGGGCACCTAGCGTTTCCTGCCTGTCCCTTTGACCCTTATGAGGAAATGACTGGCATGACCCTGTCTCTGCCTTGGCAGTCTGTAGACAGACTGGAAAGCACCTCTGGGACAGGAGCCTGGGCGGCAGCAGGGAAAACTATTCTGTGTGCCACCCCACCAGTGCCAGGCTGGGGGGCAGAGTGGAGTGCGCCGCGGCCTCGCTGCTTCTTCTCGTGTTCCTTTGCACCATGGGTGCTGGTGGCCTGCTGGAATCCAGGCTACACAGGCTGTCCTCATGTTGGGGGCACCAAAGCTGGGGCATCAGGAGCCCTCAGTGGCGTCTGTGGGCCAGAGCCCCAAGCACGGGTGTATACTTTCTTCTAAGGACTCCCCCAGGGCCCCCACTATGGGGAACCAGTGGTAGCAAATACCCTGCCCTACCCACAAGGGCTATTTCTCCTCTTCTGCACGGGTGCTGCTGAGTTCTGCGCTGACACAGGTCTTGGTGCTTCGGGACCTCATCTGCAGGAGGCTGTTAAGTCGGTTGGGAAGGGTGGACTGACCCAAGCTGGCCGTGCCTCCTGGGCTGAGAGCCAAGGGGCGCACTGAGTTCCAACTTTCCCCATAGACCCTGGCCGGAAGGCTCAAGACCCCCTCACCTGGAGAGGGGATCATTATTATGCCCCTCTTTGGACGTGATGCCAGTGCCCAGGCAGATACTCACCTCCAGTGACCTTCCTTGCCACCCATCTGCCCTGGGGCACTAGCTCTGCCCACCCTCAGAACCTCTGGCAGACTGCCAGGCCTGTGCAGCCTGTAGGTGCTCCAGCTATGGAGGGAAGACTCCAGCCCTCGGGTCCTCATGATGATGGCAGAGTGGTCCTAGTCCAGTCCCTGGAGAGTCCTGGGCCCTGCGCTGGGGAGGGGAAACACAGGAGCCTGGGCGTGGAGTCTACATGATCGCAGGAGGAGCTGGCCTGCTAGGGAAGGGTCCAGGGCAGGAGCTAAACCCACACCCAGAGTGACCTGTCCTCTCTCCTCCGGCCCCAGGCAACTGGCCCTGAAGGCCCTCAACGAGCGACTGAAGCGAGTGGAGGACCAGTCCGTGTGGCCCAGCATGGATGATGATGAAGAGGAGGCGGGGGCCAAGGTGGACAGCTCCCTGCCCTCAGACAAAGCTCCAGTGCCCCCAGGGAAAGGGGCCACCCCAGAATCCAGTTTAATCACCTTCGAGGCAGCTCCCCCAAAGCTGTGACTCCAGACCACCTGGAGCGTAGCACCTCCTTCCCACGCCCCGACACCCTCTCAGCTATCTAGGGCACGTGGCTCTGAGGAGAGGGACGAAGGCCCGCTGGGGCTCCCATGGCCTTCTGCTGTTTCTCGCCAACACTACCAGGACTCTGCTCCCTGGACCCAACTCCAGACAACCACTCTGCCGGGCCCGGGGCCCCATCCGAAGGGGGCACCTGAGCAGGCCCCAAGCAAGCGGCTGTGGGGACATTGGTGCCACAGCCCCCAGCCTCCTCACACCTGAAGCTGGTTGCCAAGAGCCCTGAGCCACGGCAAGGATTTGCCAAAAAACGTTCTGGGGGCCCAGCCGACACAGGTGGCAGCATGGGGCTGCACATCTGCCCACCCCACAAGACTGTTCACATCAGGAGTTCTTTCCCCTTGCTGTGGCTGTGACCGCTACTGGGCCAGGATGGCCACACGCCCAGGTATTTTCTACAGGACCACTTGAGCGGGCAGCCCAGCCCAGCCTCGCAGTATCAATAAAGCAGTTCTTTGAGGTATGACTCCTGGGCTCCGTCAGGCCGCCTGGTCCGTGCCCCCGCCCCGCATGCTCAACTGCTAAGTTAGGAAGCATACTCTGGGCTCAAGGCTCAGTCTCCATGGCAACCCGGGTGCGGGGCTGAGACGCCCATTGCCCCCACCTCCCCCACACATATGCTCAATTCCCAGAGCTGTCAATGCAGACTCTTACTTCTCTTTCCTCTCCCTGCAGCCCCTAGTCGGGGAGCCATCTGCCCCACCCAGAATGCCTGGCAGTGAGGACCTCTTTCGTAAGGAGTGAGGTCCGAGACAGCACCCTGTGGAGACAGAGGCCACCCGAGCTCCATCCTGTTGCCATGCGGTCTAACCATTAAGTACAGTGGGTAGCAGGGAGATGGGAGGACACATGGCCACAGCATCATGGCCTAGGGCCTTGGGGCACAGGAGCTTCCACGCCAGACCCTGGGGACTTCTGTGCAGAACAGCTTCAGCCCATCAAGCAGGCAGGGATGGGGCCCACCTTCCCCCCACGGCCCTTTTCCCATGCTGGTGGCGTTGGCGAGAACCATGTCCCACTCTGGGCTGCTCCTCCCGTCAGTCTTTTCAGTCTTTTATTTATTTTCTCTCCTATAAGTTCTGGACATTGCAGTGCAGCTATAAGCTGTACCGCTGGAGGCCGTCTTGCAGCCCAAGTTCATCCAGGTACATCATCCATGTGCTCCTCGGAGATGAGGGCGATTGAAGGAGGAGAGCTACGCAGCATGAGGGCAGCTGAGGAGACAGAGTGCACACACACGGCTCCTCCTAGCCAGCACTGGTCCAGTGCCCTGGGTGCCCCCAGTCCCACCAGCTGAGCGACAGGACGTCCACAGCCCTGACTCCCACACTGAGGCAGATCCAGGCTTCCGCCAGGCTGGCACGAGCTCACGGTTGCATCCTCTTGCGGTATAGGTAGGCGTTGCTCACCTGGTTCATGATGACCAAGCTGGTGAGGACAGGGCATAGCGCAGCCAGGTACCAGGCCACCCCAGTGACAGCAGCAGTGAACCAGAGTGAGCACATGCCCAGCAGGAGGCTGGTACTCCCCAGCAGGTAGCCCACCAGCCCAGAAGTGGCATGGTACAGCTTGAGCTTCGCCAGGGGCCATCGGGGCAGCAGCTTGGGGTAGAGCAGCCCCACCCCGCCTGAGCACTGCAGCCCCGCCCACAGCACAGCCAGCAGCCCTGCCTGTCCATGCCGGGTGGCCAGGTGGGCCTTGCCAAGCTGCTCTTTGTGGAGGATGACAAGGCCGAGGCCCAGCAGTGCACAGAGCAGCGCCAGCAGTTGCAGCACCCAGTGGCAGCGGGCTCGGCCCTTCCGGGAGAGGGAGCGCAGCAGCGAACTCTCAGGAGAGAACACCAGCAGTGCCTCGGTCATCAGGAAGGAGAACTGAGGAGGGGATGGGAGATGAGTGAGAGTGCTGTCCGGGCAGGGGGCGAGAGGGCACGAGGTAACTCCCAGCCGGCAGTGAGCTGGGCCAGTACCCCTCTTCAGCCTCTCCCCATTGCCACAATGTCCACTTGGTGGGGTGAGAGTAGAGAGCCCCATCTGGGACAGGACATCTGCCAGAGTGGTCAGTAAGAGGTGGCCCTCCCCACACGTTCTAGGAGCTGTGCTGAAACGTCACCGCTGCTCTGCTACCCAGGGAAACAGGGTGAGATGTGGCACTTATAAATGATTCACGAGCTTCGCTTCCTAACACAGGCTGGATACAATTTCTTGGCAAGAGCTGGCCACATGGGTGTCATGTTTCAGGGAAACTGTATGCATCACCATAAAATAAGGTAAAACAGGACATGGGGGGGCCAGCAGGTGGCAAGGTGGTTTGGGCGCTGGACACTCATACGGCCAATTGCAGTCTGAGTCCCAGATCTGGCAGCTTGCTTCCTCACTTTCCCTTTTTCTCTCTGTCTCAGGTCAAATTTTTAAAAATAATAATAAAATTAAATAATTCTTTAAAAAGAAAACAGGACAGAAATATACATATCCAAATGCAGTTTCTCAGCCTCTTGCATGGGTGTGAGTGAAGCCACATTCTGTGCTTAGACAGATCTCACCCATCTGCCCTGGGTAGGCTCTGGTTCGAGTCTGGAACATACTACCACAGACAGGAGCATGGGACACTTTCAGACAGATATCCAGTGCCCACAGGACTCAGAAGCCACCAGAGCTACCACCCATGCCCAGTCTCCCACCCCTAAGAGCTGCCTAGGCCCACCACTTACAGCCAGAGACATAAGCACGGGGTGCCAGGAGAACAGGCCTGGAAAGAAAAGAGGAAGCCTTGTGGGCTGCGGCAAGAAGAAAACAGTAATAATGATCCCTACGGGCTGAGTACAGGCAGCCCACTGTCGAAACATGCCCTTCCTCAACAAGCTGACCCCACCCCATCCTCTCTCCTGGCCCCTTCCAAGATCAGAGGTCACGCTCAGCCACTCCTCACGTAGGCCTCCCCTCTTCCTCCAGCACCTCCCAGGAAGCAGCCTAGTGGAGCACTGAGACTAGGAAAGAGAAAGTCAGTACTCCAGGGTCTGGCCAGGCCGGCTGAGCCCCCCACACCCATCTGCCCCATCCCGGTCACCCTTCAGCCAGCCAAGTCTGTTCCTAGGAGCTGGGCTCAAGTCTTCCTGCTGCCCCTGGTCCCCAGGAAAAATCCTCCCCTTCCCAGAAGTCACCTGGGGATTCTACTTACTGGAGCCAGGCCTGGCAAGCACGGCTATAAAGATGGTAAAGCCCAGGGCCACAAGGTGGGCAGCCGCCCCAGAGGCAGTGCGTAGAGCTCGGTAGATGTGCGACTCCGTCTCCACAGAAAGGGCCATGGTCAACCTGGCCGGTGGCCACACCTGAGCCTGAAAACACAGCAGCGTGGGCAGGGGATTCGGATGCCCACCACCCACTCCTCTTGCAAGAAAGGGTTGTAGGTCAGGAATGC